CCCCAAAACCCCAAAACCCCAAAACCCCAAAACCCCAACGAACTAAATCAACTTAACGTAAATTTATAATTTTGCAACTTGCTAAAATGAGACATGGTAAAGGTTTGACCAAGAAGGTTAAAAATGCATCAAAGATGGCTAAGAAGAAGAGAAGTACTCCATATCTTCAAAAGATAAAGTCTCTACAACCTCAGAACACTTCAAGCCCTGATTCGATCAAGAAGATATTAGGTGATGCTGGAGAATTACGAAAGGAAGCTGTTCAAACTATCAAATATGAGCAGAATAATGAATATTATGCATATAAGAAGCTAACACTGAACAAAAGTGCATCTCTCATAAATTCGAAAAAGACAAAGATGAGTAGAAGAAAGGGGAGAAAGCAATCAGTGGAGAATATTCAGCCTCAGACGAAGTTTATCAAAGCTAACCTAACCAGACTTAACAGTAAGTATATTTCCGTGTCCAAATATGATGATGTTGAGTAGACGTCAGGAATCCTTATAATATACAAGAGCGATATCATACATACAATGCCATAAGCCACTCGGGGCACAATATCACAGATGAAAATCCTAACAATGAATCTTTAGCTGCGGTTCAGTATACCCCTAATGCTAAATTTTTACAAAGAGATCTTTCTCCTGAACAGTTGCAGCAAAGTATGATTGGGTAAGCTAATCGATACTTTCTTCAGTCTCTAAATATTTCAGAAATAATCGTCAAGCCAGCTTTACTCTTTTATAGGAACATTAATACAACCCTAATTTCGAAGAATGTAACCCAGGCCTCAATTGAGATCATACAAGAGGATTCTAGGGAAATGGCACCGGAAAATGTGCCCTGAGATTTTGAAGAAGGACAGAAAAACTCTATTATCAAAAATAGAAAATTCTGTGCTAAATTTATCAAAAGAACAGTAATTTTCCTTCAGAATTCTTCTAACTTTCTGTAGGAGCCTAAGCTAGATTCAACTCTGATAGACATGAAGTCAAGTAAGACTCGAAGTTGTAACCAGTTTAGATATTTCTACTGAGAAACTTTTTAAATAAAGTTTATCATGAAAGAAATAAAATGCTAGGTAATCATAGTGATTTAAGCCCTTAGATGAGATCAGTTATGATGAAATCGTAGTCGAAGATGCAAAAACTGTAGAAGTATCATCCGAAACTAAGAGTAATAAAATACAAAAGGATTATGAAACCTTATCTCAGATCCAAGAGAAGGTATCTCGAAGGTTATCTGATTACAGTTTCAGTCAAGGGTCTAGCATAGATCTTGACGAATCTAAAGGTCGGACTAAAGGATGTGTCCGTCTTAATGATATTGTTCCAAATGCTCTCCCTTTTCAGCCTCAGAGGCCTCGGATAAAATGAATAAGGGCTGGTCCTCCTTACACAATCAAGAGAACCCTGAGGCTTATCAAGCGTAAGGCTGTATCACCTCGGAATGCTTACCAGCCTGGGTGGAAGTAGAGCTTCAGATGTTCTAAGAAATTTAGGCTCGAGGAGATTCTATAAAATTCAGCTAAAATTACAGATTTGGGGTTTTGGGGTTTTGGGGTTTTGGGG